TTCTGGGAGTTGAAGTCCACTCATCTTAAAGTGGCCAAGTTTGGACAACACTGCAGTAGGGCCTCTCAATGATCTTAGATTCTCAGTTTAAACAACTTTCAGGAGCCCTTGCTTTGGAATTTACTTCTGCTCTCCTAATGGGATATGTATTTACTCATAATAATAAGTGCCATTTTAGTGTAGAAAGCATAGGCATTGAGAAAATAGAAATAACAAAATGAAAACATTTAGCTATGTATGACCCCCAATGGCTATTGATTATAAAAACTTCCAAAAACAATCCTTAAGTGGATTACAACAAAAAGTGTCCATGTTGTAATCCACTTAAGGCTCCTATATAACATCAGTTTAGGAAAAGGAAAAATGTGTTTCTTGAGAGTTGAGATTTCATCTTCACTGTGACACAGTACCAGTATCTTGCATGCATTATCAGGTCATATAACTTAGTTTAGCCTTAAAAAAATAAGCATGATTTCTTATTTTAATTCAAGATACGTTTTGCTTTGTTTTTACCAGTGGATATTTTGGCAAGCGATAGCAACCGGGCCTATTCCTTTTAAATAGCTCCCCACTTAGCAGAAGTGAACAGATATTCTCAACCAGGGAATATATTCAGTTGATATTATTGAACTAAGCGTTGTGATTAAACAGAAATCTCAATTGTTTCAATACAGTTACATAATGGACAAGTTGAGACCTAGGAAAACAGGTTGAAGCTAAAAACTAGGGCTTCCTATTGTTCATTAAAGAAAAAAATGTTGGGCTGTTTCTGAGTAGGAACACTTAGGAAGTGCAATAGTAAAACAGGAGAAGATTTGGTGATCAAATGATTAATTGCACATTTATTTTGTGGAGCTGCGTAGAGGGCCATGCGTGAAGTATCACTTTTAAGGTTAAGATCCATCAGAAGGACTGGGTAGAGTCAAGTCCAGTGTGATCAGAGGCTTAAAATAATGTTAATTATTATTAATATAAATAAAATAAAGGTTCCCCCTTGGATAGATTTTGATTTGTCTTTAAAAACTCCAGTGAAACATACATACAGACATACAAACACGCACACCCTGTACCCATGTAGGAAGGCTACTTTCTCTTTAGAAACAAAAGGGCTTAGAGGAAAAATTAAACTTTTATCTCCCTGGGTTATTGTGAGCTTACAATTAAGGCTGTAAAATCAGAAATGGGAGCTCAACAGTTGCTTTTGACCTAATTTAGACTTGAATAAATGGAGCTATCAACGACTGTGAGCTTTGATTGACGTTGGGCTGAGTAGGTAGACTCTTAATAAAATTCCAAATTGGTAGAGCTCATGGGGAGGGGCAGAGATGGATAACATACATAAATATTGTACTCAGAGGTGTTTCTTTTCTTAGGCAATAAGCTCTCTTGCTGTCAGCTAACCATGATGGTCATAGTTTTCATTTCCCCACATTAATTCTCCAAAGACAAACTCCTTAAAATGGAGACTAAGAAGCTCTACATTCCTAAGTTTTATATCTCTTGAGAGTTGGAGTAAAAAATGGTTATGCATATAACAACAATTATTGTGCTTTAATCAGTTCAATATATGCAAATGCAATGTTTCTCAGTACAAGTTATAATAGCCCTTTTCACATATCACACCAAGTCATGGCATCATTTGTTTATTAATTTAGCATTATGCACAAGCCATGCCACAATGGCTTGTTCAACAAACCATGTTTAAAACATATCCAAATAAAGATTGTGTGTGAATCAGACCATAGAAAATAGGGGTAGTGGGGAAGACAACTAGAGATACTATCTATTAGTAGACATCTTCCACTTGTTTCATTTTCTACTTTGAGAGAAGGTCTGAAGTAAAGTAACAAATCTCCTGCAATACCTCATCATTATCAATAGTAGCAAGCTTGCTTAAGATTGTTCAAATGAAGATTTGAAAGCTTCTTCTGTTTTGTGACTTAGTTTAACTAAATAACTTCTGACGCAACTGGAGCCCCAGTTACAACACTCCTCTTACAGAGATATGTACATGACCACAGGTGTTGCCAATTGTAAGATGCACTCTGACATTTTCACATTATTGTACAAGATTTCAACACCGTAGCATTTACATGCAGACATAATGCTGGGAAGCCTGCAGACCCTGCTATCTTAAACATTTGGGGTTTGGGTTAGGGGTTGAATCTTAGGGAAATTTTAATACCAAGTAAACCCAGAAAGAATGGAATGAGGAAAGTTTTGTGTTTTTTTTTTAATTCCAACATTTAAAGAATAATACTAACAGTGCCACTATTCTCAACTTTTTGTTTCATTGAACATTTGCTACTGATCGTAATGAAAAACTTCATACCAATTTAACATTGGCAACAATATGTATGCTTAAACAGGTTCACACGTAATCCTCTAAATTCACTCACAGAATAAACATGTGTAACTGTAGAGAAGCCACATTCAATCAAACTTACATGGTGAAGGGGCTTTCACAGATGGAGCTTTGCCTTTAAACCCAGGGGCAGAAAAGCAAATGAAACCTTCTCTATCTTCCTTCTCACCATTTTTACTTTAGACTGCACTGCCTTTTCCCAGAGTGTGCAGAAACAGGAAAAGGCTCCGCCATTTTTGCCTTCAGCAGGAGTAAGTAACCTAGCATTTCCTGGAATAAGGCCAAGTCTAAGCTGGACCACACTTTGCCTATGGCCTCAATGATGAGCAAGTAACCCAAATAACACAATTATTGCTTTGAATATAGTTTCCTTTTTCATGGTTCTCCATATTAACCCTAAGGTATTACTAACTAATTATTCAGAAAAGGAAAAATGTGATAGAAATCCCATTCTTGTCATGTTTTTTAAAAAAAGCTGAAGCATGTGTTGCTTTGAAATGAAGTTAACAGCACAGCAACAAAATACTAAAAATAGAAAATAGCCAAATAAAGGGGGGGGGGAATCCTATACAGAGCTAAATTTGTTGGGGTTTGAACCATACTTAGGCTCTAGCAGATAATTAGCAGGGCATTCAAGCAGTCTCTTAGTAGGATGAAACAACCCCCCCCCCCCCACACACACAAATACACACTTCTCAGACCCTAAGTACTTGTAGTAAGTGCAG